GGTTGTTTCAGCGCAATGGATTGTTAGAATTATCAGAAAATTTTGATCTCGCAGCCATCTCGATAAGAGAGAACAGCAGGCTTAGAAGATAAAAATTTAGCAAATAAGGTTATCGTGGCATGGCAAGAACCCATTTTTTACTAAAGAAATTCGAGCATCTTTGGCCAAACTATCTTTGCTTGAAATGCAGATTCGTGGCGAATGATCGAGAGATGCTTCAACTCTGCTTGCACTATAATTAGATTTACGCTATTGGTAATATGTCATTTCTTTCTCTTTCTAAATAAAGAATGCTCACACTCTCTAACGCAAAATTTAAATATAACCCTCTTCAACTGTCACTTTCACGCCCGTGATATGACTTTTCCATTAATGTTTTGATCAGGAAATGTTTGCATAACCTGCCTGTGGTATTACTGCTTTGACTAATTGGTATTATCAGGTTCAATGTTCCGTCTTACTTTCTTTGGGAACATGCAAGGACCTGACTCGGAACAGAGAGCTTATTAAAGCTATGTTCAATAACTGTGGGAAGTAGACAGGATACACAAGAAGGGTATACAAAACCCTTTATTTTTCTCTCTTTACAATAATTTCCGTACTTCGGAATACAAAGACCCACTACTTGTGGTCTAAACGTAAGAATATAAAAATATAACTAAACTCTAACTTTGAAATAATAAACGTGGAAGATTGGCCTTATATTAACAGGAAGCCGTATGTAGTACAGAGAACTGTTAACACTACAATACGTTTAAAAATTATCACGAGGATTAAACCTCTGGCCTGGAAGGCAACCAGCAACTGAGTAAAACTTCTAAGGTAAGCGGCCTGTTTCGACTAACTCCTTCCTCTCTCTCGCTTGGCAAAAAGCCACAACTTAAGTACTTGGCGTTCGCCAGACAAATTTTGCATAAATAAGTTAATGCTTTTAATTCTGGCCGGAAGTAGAAAATAAGAAGTGATAGTAAAGATTAAAATAAAATAAACGTTAGTAAAACTTAAGATCCTTACAGTATATTATAACGGAAATGCAGTTAGATAAATTTACTGGAAAAATAAAATAGACTTTTTTTAACTATTAATTAAAATTAAAATTTTTCAATAATTTGTATAACAGGTTAATTATACAAACTATTGAATATAGCTAAACGATGCAAGCAGGCATGGAAAGGGAGTTGAATTGACTTTGCGTGTAAAATAACGGATACATGCATTTATATACTGGCATTCACACATGTTCAGATATTTTGTATCAGTATTCAAAGCTCAACTGTAATTATATAATACTCTTATAAAAATCATTACGTACTTGTACATCTTAAGGATTTGTGTACTGGCGAACACCGAGTCTAGACTTGTGATAAAATCAAGGAACATTTTTCGTGCATTTATCTCAGGCAGATTCATGACTAAGAAACGGTACAGAATTTCAAGGAATTTGCTGTAGGTCATGAAAATAAAAAGATGTACACTTTTTTTTTTTTTTTTTAAATTTTCAAATTTACCATGAATTGTATATCAGTCTAGCCGTTGCAAATACCATATTGATCTAATTATAAAAAGGATTATTTTTCATTGAGATAGTCTTATAAGAATTGCATGCTTAATTAATATGTGCAGCTTAACATTTAAAAATAAATCATTCGCAAAGATAGTTTGATTAATTTGCACTAATTTTCCATTTAATCAACCAGTTTAATTCTTCTGTTGTTACTTATGCTCACTTGTCTGACAGTAACATTAGCTCAAGCCCACGAAATTCCTCTCGCGGCAAGGAGCGCAAGATACGCCTGTCGTTGGCAACAGCCTTGAGCACCTTATAGGTGACAGAGCGACTTAGCTCAGTTCCGCCCCCAATTTTGATGAGGAGCACCCCGAATGAAGACGGGTCCCATGGTCTTTCACTCCTCTCCCCTTCCACCAAACCACACGGAAGGGCTTTCGGCTTGCCGCATATTTAGAGTGCCGCCATGTCACATGGACACTATACATTTGCAAACATCCATGCCTTCTCCGAGATTCGAACCCGGGCCCTTAGGCACGACAGTCAGCGACGCTAACCTTTATACTGGTTGGGCGCGTTTAATTCTTTTGAATCCTATAAGTGAAAACATATTATTGTCATTAAATAAAATTTAACTACAGGTACTTAACTTGAAAGATACTATTGGTATTGGTCTTCATATATAATCCTCGTATGCTATCTGTTTGGAGCTGTTGTACTCTTAGCATTACTTCATTGTATAAAGTATCAATAAAACATCCATGAAATTCATGTACAGAAGTAGTACATTAGTGAGAAAGGTATAGGACTATGTACTATATAACTGTATTAAATACTCTATTATGATGTTCTGATGCACAGTGAATCCTAAAGGGTATGTTGAATTGGTTGGTTTTACTTTGTTTATTTTATCGTGGCAAAGCACTCTAAGGCTATCTGCCTAAGGGTAGGGATGACTTCGTGGCCTTTCCAAAGGAAACTGGTTCGTATCCACATTACACATGGGGGAAATCACAAAAAACAGCCAAGCTATGCTTAATTAATTATAATTTTTACTAGCGTTTTCTGATTGATGTTAACGTGTGAGGCCTTTTACATTTTTTGAAGCCTTCTTGACGAGGGAATTCACCAATTTATTACTCGCTTGGCTTTGAATTCTGCTGAGGTACATTTTCGGTTCCTGGTTACCTGCAGCAGGTTGCACTTTAGTGATGGTTATTATTATTTAGTGATGGTTACAACCTGCTATGAGGTTGGAGAGAGGCTATTTGAGCGAGCGGATATTACGTTTGTAGATGTTGGCAAAGATAGGAAAGCCAACACCTTCCTTTATGGCTGTCAGCCGCATCTGCAAAATGTATTTTAAGAGCGTAGGCAGCCATCCTATTTGGGGAGTACTATATTGGTAGTGTGCAGTACAGAGGCGCTACCTGTTTTGCGACCTAGTTTCGAACCATCTATATAGGCAAATGATATGCAAGAATATGAAAAATTGAGTTCTTAAACACAGGTATTGAAGTTATGTTCGCTAGCTTAGTAGTAGAAGGATGGTGATTTTGGGTATTCAGAATTTTTAGATAAACTTTGCCTGTCAGGTCGTATCGAACATCAAATTTACTTGACTGAAAGTCTCATATCTTTTAGACAGAGAGGCCAACTGCAGGAGTCTTTGCATATTTAAACCGTAGTTTCCCAACAAGGAAGCCGACGAGATCTTGGAGGGTGTTTGTGAGGATAAGATCAGTAAGAAGTTTTAAGAAATACGAGGGCAATAAGTAGAATTCTGAAATGTTTCAAGTGTTTGTTAAAGAAACATTTGCTTATTTTAACATTTCAACGATGCACCTTTACAAGAATCCTACCAAATCATGTCGACAAGCATTTAACACATTGTGTGTTTAGAGTCAGGTCCCACGCCCCCAAAGAAATGCCCAAAATGCAAGTCATCAGTTTAGAACTTTTCTACTAGATGAATGGTTTATACAAATGTGAGTAGCAGGAGTGCGACACTTCAACACAACTAACTGTTTTGCAGTAAGATGGACGATGGTAAATTAGGAGGTCGTACTTTCGACTAAGACTAAATGATGTATCAACAAAGATGTAACTTCTCAATCATGACTCTTTTTCTCCATTTTGTAAATAATCATTAATGTATCTCCATCAATACGTAAATAAAATAATTTAGTCACCTAAAGATGTGTATCGTCAGCCTAGAAATCCCATAGACTCCAAGTTAACATGAGCGTTTCGACCATTTCTTCTTCACTGAAGGTAAGCTGTTCTTTAAGAATCAAATAAAGAATCTTTAGAATTCAGTTTTGATGAAGTGAAATTAAAGAATCTTTTAATTCAATTTTGATGAACTGAAACTGTATTTTTACTCCTTCGCTAAACGTGATGATAATCCGTATAATAATCGTTCCATCCGTGATAATAGTGGTTTGCGATTAGTGATTCTTTTTTTTTTTTTTTTTTTTTTTTTTTTTTTTTTTTATGGTAGACTCCGAGTTCACACAAATAAACGAGCTCAGTGGATGATGCTACAAAATCAGATGTAAACAAATCATGAGCCCGATATCAGAAAAAACTTTTAATGAAAAATTTGCGATGCTTTTCATTTGAATCTAACTAACTGCATCTTTGTCGGTTTATCTTAATAAATGAACTCAGTTTCAGTTTTTTTAATAAAAGAGATAGTTTACGGAATGGAGAAGACGAACAAAAGAAAAATGAAAGGTAAACTAAAAATAATTGGGAGTCTATGATATAAATACTCTGAAACTAATTATGCTTTTAGCCCGATTCAACTTTAATTAATTAAATGATTAAATCGTATTAGTTTTTTAAAGCAAGAATTCAAGATGCATTGATTTTAATTTTATTTTCCTAAACATTTTACATTTAGAGTCTATATGTTCCACATATAAACTTTAGAAGTCTTAACGAAAAGCTCTTTGTTTCCGAAACACACAAAGGCGATGAAGCAATTATCTTTAATTTTAATAGATTGGTACTCGTAGAATAACTTTTACTGTATAGTTATTTTATTTTTATAAAATAATTTTATGTACTTTTCGTCATATAGTTTTCAAGTTGTGTATAAAAGTTCATTCTTTTCGTTCACGTACGTACGTAATAGTGAAACGGGAAATGGATGGACCCAGCTCTAAGGTAGACGTTAACTTAAAGCTAAATTATCTAACAAAAAATAAAATGTGTAGAGTACTTTAAAAGTATTAGTGCAAAAAGAAATGATTTCATTCTTCTGCTTCTGCAAAAATTCTCCAGGTTGCGTTTTGGTGATTGCTCAAATACGACAGTAACGTTTTTCGAAACAAAGGAATTTATTTATTACACACATTACAGCAATAGTCCCTTAAGTGAGTGATGTATTAAAAGATAATAAATCCTACTAGATTTTCAGAGCACTGGTATCTTACACTTAATTCGACAAAAACACATTTTTATAGGAGAAAATAAAAAGACGTACCTTCTTCTTTTGTCGGTATGGTTCCTGTCCTAGAGATGTTGAGTTGAGGTACGCTAAGTGCTTCTGGATTACTCACAGTAAAAGTGATTGAATACGGGATCTGAAAGGCAAATTAGGATATTAAACTAAAAAAATTGTAGTAGAACAACATATTTGAGAAAAATAAGAATTCAAATATTTACGAACAGTTTGAATATCAGAACACCTATTTAAAATAAATAAATATTTCTGAATTTGACAAAGGTATAATCAAAATTCTGTGTCTGTAAATTTAAAACTGTGAATGAATTGTTATTATGTCTTTCAATTACAAGCAGAAATTTTACGAAGTCTCATAAAAAGGCCACAAACTGACAAAGGGTTGTTAAAGTGGCCATTTAAAATTCGGTGCGAAAAAAGAATGAGGTTCAAAATAAATAAATCACCGGGATGTACTTTGATGCCCTGAAGCGGAAACCTTAGACAAATGGTTCTCAGCTTAGTGACCGATTATATTGGTCACGGTTATAGTCCCCCTCTCATGCCACCGCCATCTTTTACGGTGGAATGGATGGCTTCAAGAAGCTTTAGGCCTTCAAAATGCGCCTCTGGTAGCTTTCGTTGAGTCCCGGCTATTTGTCATTTCTAAGAACGGCTTGACGCGGTTTATGGAGCTGAAAAAAGATATCATTCATGGCTTGGCTAGTATCCTTCAGGTGCATGCGTGTGTGCGCATCTGGAATACAATGATCTCCGAGTGCCACAATTCCCAGGCATATATAATGTCGTTCTAAACTTGAATCTATGATTTAATTCTTGAAATTTATATTGAAATTTCATGGGCCATTCCTTTAGCCACTAATTAAATGAAACTGCAATAGGATTCCATTTACCTGATATAACACGTCTTCATTCCGAATAATAGGCTTTTTGGCATTAAAAGTAGAAACAAGTATGTATAATATTGTTTAGAAAGTGTATATACTTACAAATGTACATATTTATAACTTTAAAAGAATAAATGATATTTTTTATTGCTTGAAGTGCTTACGAGAGATTATGTAACACCATTCTTTGATGAGCAGTGTATAAGTTTTCGGAAGATTCAGTTATTTATTCATCGATATATAAGGCAACGTGAAACAACAACGTAATTCATTATGTTGTAATATTTCTTAGCTTAACATCCTCATTTACACCGTGCAATATTTCTTTAAAATATTACTATAAAAGTATCTTTAAATGCACTATTTTTAAGTTCTCTTTTATGGTTACCATTAAGAGAGGAATTAATACAATTGTTTTACAAGGAATTCTAACCTTTGTAGTTTTAAATAGTCTTTCAACCAAAGCCAATTTATGTGGTCGTATGTCGCAATCGCGAGGGAACACATGTTCTAAGAAGATACTTTCCGGATTGAAAGAAAACTGACAAAGTCTGAAAAACTGTGAATATACCATGCGAATTAAGATGAGGGGATCTCAAAAGTTCAAGCGAGATAAGCTTTCCATATTATAATTCCAACACTTATCATGAAGTAGTTAGACTATCCATAACTTAAAAAAGGAGACCACCTATGAACCACTCGTTAATGAAGTTATAATTTCTACTATGAAATTTCGGTTGTTAATGGCCAGAACATAAATGAAGCTTTGAATAAAAATATTCTTTATAAAATAAGCGTACAATTTATTACCTTTGGGGCAGTAACCAGTGGCCGAGTGCTTACGGACGGTGAATATCGGCAATCTTGACCTGGGTTCAAACGCCGACGAACGAGTTTGCTGCATAATTGTTTTTTGTGACTTTCTTCATATGCAATCTTAATGTGAGCGAGTTTCTCTTAGGCAGTCCTCCACGAAGGTATCCCTTCCTTAGACAGATAGCCCTCGTGTGCCATATTCAAATAATCATTCATAATTCTTTGCCATATTCAAATAAGTTAATCTAATTATCCTTGGCTTATTACACTTTTTTTTAGTCCAAAGGGATTTGAATCCCGAAGGACTATTAGTTTCGTTTTGGCATTTTGCGTCGGACTCATAAATGTCGGTTCACTTTTCAAACTGTTGCCACAAAATGTTAGAGTCCTGCATTATATTTGAAGAAATTAAATAATGAAAAATCTGCATAAATGTATGTATATTTCTCGTATTGTGATAAAACAACGGTACATAGAGTCATCGAATTTTGAATAACGTAATCCTCCAACGAATATGAGCATGTGGAAGACCAAATTTGAAATTTGAAATTTGTTTTATGATCGATTTCCTATTTTTTAAAACTTTGACGAATTTTTGATTAACAAAAACTCAAGGATTTCAAAGCGAGCAATGGCAACGTTGTGCAGAAAAAACATATTTTTTTCCAGCGCGTGAGTCTCTGTATCGGAAATTCTAAAGATATGCTCGTTTTAAAACTATTTTGCGATATTGCTGTTGCACTGGATCTTATGGTTTAAATGCGAGGAACATGATATTTAATAAAGAAAGGTAACACACAAAATGTTAAAAAACGCCCCTTTGGACGTAATTTAAAATCTGAAACATTTCAGAGTTTTTTTTTTTTTTTTTTTTTTTTTTTTTCAAAACGGTTTGGTCACTTTGGTTATTAGCATAAGAAATTACTCCGCCAATAGATCAGAATTCAAATTCTGGTAAGGAATGTATTTTTGTGATCGCTGAATCTGAGTGTAGTTCGGCACGACATTAATTTTGTACGTAGAAATGTTGGTGTTGTTGAATGGGATGGAAGACTGATTCGTACTCTTAGTGGTTACTATATCAAAATCCGCAATTAAAACTAGCATTATGATAAACAACCTCATACGTTGAATTGTACTTTCTAACTAACGATATAAATATAGTATCCACACTTTGCTTTCATTCGCTCTTAGCAATAAGATAGATTGATTTCTGTTTCATTTGCCCACTCTTAAATGCGACGAAAACATTTTAATTTGCAATTTAATAAGAACACGTAAGAATGTTTCTGTACACATTATTTGAAGGGATTGTAAAGTATTTATATTAATTAAAGCACTATTTTTTTAATTGAACTTCCATTAGAATGTACAAGAGTATGTATAAGGATAGAGGTCTTAAAAGTTAAACTAAGAGTACTGGCAAAGACGCTGCCGTTGACTCCAACTGTTCTCACGTGTCCTCGCCCAGCTCTGAGACTTACGTTAATTTTTTGCTTGTCGAATCACTTGCTTTTAGTTAGAACTGAGCCAACGCCTGAAAGGCTTTTGCACAATGAATCTCCAGTATTAACTCCATTTTGAATTTAAATTCATATTCCATATTTTGTCTGAAATCCCGAAAGCTACGGAGAATTAAATTTTAAGCTTTGCATTGTGAAGTTTAAATCAAAAGGTTATTTAAAACCTTCTACTGAACTTGTAGTTACTTTCACAAGCGAGAAGGTTTAACGAAAAACTACAATATTATCTCATATTTAGGTCACACATGGGAAAGATTAAACAGAGAAACAAATTCATTTAGAGGAAAACCATACATTTATAATAATAATTTACTCTCAAATAAGTTATTCAGAAATATATATACTACAGAGCCACACCATAATGCTACCCCGCTCGCCTGGGTTCGAACCCAGGACGAACTACCAGCATGCATCAGTTTTGAATCTCTCAACCACTGGTGGGGGACTACAAAGAAAATTACTCAATAGCTAGATTAGTTAGTTAACCTTATTGCAAAGTAGAAAAGGTAAATATTAAGAAAATTTTGTGTTTAATTTCCTATTTTAATATTGAAAATGACTGGAAAAGGGGATATTTTAATCCTGTTACTAAATGCAGAAAATGAACTAGAAGCAAAGGGAGTTAAAGAGGTAAAAATGTTTTACCTAAATATGGAAAACGACCCAATCAACCATTAATCTTGCCTTCTTTAAAAATCAGATATTATGTCCAAAATGTAGCATCGTTTAGTCATACCTTTCTTCACTAATCGAAAAATAAGGGATCACATAAAATGAAAAAAAAAAAAAAAAAAAAAAAAAAAAAAAAAAATCCAAAAACTCACAAATTCTTTCTGCCTAAATATACGTTATATATAACATACACATATAAATTTTTGAACCGATTTTCTTCCATTAATGGACTGATGGATTATAAATGTACAAAGTGCGAATAAAATTTAGTAGCCGTGCTGTAATTGCTCCATATGATGTTTAAAAAAAAATATTTATTTTGCCTTTTGAACTTCTTTCTAATAAAAAAAAGGTTTAGTACTATTCAACCCCCCCCCTCTTAAAAAAAATGCGCATTTTTGTTAATTGTTTATGTAGCAGGTACCATATCTTTAACTTTGTATCGAAATTTCCAGTTGCTTGAATATTTTATTTTCAGATGCTGAAGAATGCTACAAATCTATTTGATGACTTTAAGTAAGTACGTAAAGGAAGTAACTTGACTTTATGTAAGTAAACGAAAACTGTTTCATGTGAATTCCTTATTTCAGTCACTTTAGTTTCTGTTCTTTAAAAAAAAATGGTGATAAATAAAAAGGGAAGGAATACTGTTTTTTACTGAAAGAAAAAAGTGCAGGAATATACAGTGCTGAAGAAATATGCGCCTACAGAATAGATTTTTTTTTTAAACGTTTGATCTTACTTAACAAACAAACAAACAACAAAAGTCATGAAATAGATTTGTAGCATTCTTCAGCATCTAAAAATAAAATATCCAAGCAATTGGGGAAATTTTAATACACAGCTAAAAGATATGGTACCTGCAGCCCAAACAATTTTAATGATGGTAACCTAGTAACACAGAAAAATCAACAGAAAGCCGAAAAAAGATTGTCTGCAAAATGACCGTAATGTCGCTGACTCGTTAATCGGCAGTCAGATAACATTTTCAGGTCTCATAAATATATCGAGTAGCTCATTCGGTGCCTACCTCTGCTTATAGCGCTGGAAGTGCGCCGATCATCAAGAAATATAGATCGAAATTTGCGTTACTCTTTTTTTCCTACAGATTAAAAGAAGGGGGGAAAAAAGAAAAAAATAATATTAATAAAAAAAATTGGGGCTGGTTTTCTTTCACTGTAAAGATGAATTTTAATAGATCTTTTTAAAAAGTATACTACGTG